CTATCATAAAGGACTCGCCAACACTGAAGATTCAGACAGGAAAATTCAGAATCACTCCCCCTGTACGTTCCAAGCTCGGAGCGCAAGTCTGAGACAGCCTTAGAGATGAATTTCAGCAAAGATCAGCAAATCAGCAACAATTTGAAATAAACGGCATGTTAATTGTCACCAAGGATTGGACAGGGAGTAGGCAATGGCTCAGTTCCTGAAAGGGCTGACCCTCACTGGGATACAGTTCCTGAAGGAGCTGACTGTCACTGGGATACAGTTCCTGAATGTGCTGACTGTCACTGGGATACAGTTCCTGAATGTGCTGACTGTCACTGGGATACAGTTCCTGAAGGGGCTGACTCTCACTGGGATACAGTTCCTGAAGGTGCTGACCCTCACTGGGATACAGTTCCTGAAGGGGCCGACCCTCACTGGGATACAGTTCCTGAAGGGGCCGACCCTCACTGGGATACCGTTCCTGAAGGGGCTGACCCTCACTGGGATACAGTTCCTGCATGGGCTGACCCTCACTGGGATACAGTTCCTGCATGGGCTGACCCTCGCTGGGATACAGTTCCTGAAGGGGCTGACCCTCACTGAGATATCGTTCCTGAAGATGAAATGGCAATAGCCAAAGAGAGCTCATTTGGCCCATTATGTTGGACCATCTCTCTATTAAGGCATCACAGATCATCTAGTTCCCTGCCTTTTCTCAGAACACTTTTAGTTGCTTATCCAATCCCATTTGCAATGCTACTTTGGAATCTGCTTCTATGCCCTTCTCAAGCAGTTAATTTTAATATCCTATTAAAACTGGAATCAATGGGTATTGGGGGTAAACTCACCACTGGTTGGAGTCATACCTGACACAGAGGAAGATGGTCGTGGTTGTGAGAGATCAATCATCTCAGCTCCAGGACATCCCTGCAGGATTTCCTCAGGGTAGTGTCCTAGGCCCAACCATCTTCAGCTGCTTTATCAATGACTTCCCTCCATCATCAGGTCAGAACTGGGGATGTTTGCCAATGATTGCACAATGTTCAGCACCATTCGTGACTCCTCAGATACTGAAGCAGACCGTGTTCACACGCAACAAGATCTGGCCAAGTGGCAAGTGACATTTGCGCCACACAAATGCCAGGCTATGACCATCACCAGTGAGAGAGAATTTAGTAATCAGCTCTTGATATTCATTGGTGTTATGATCACTGAATTCTCTCTACACTCTGGGTGTTACTATTGACCTGAGACTGAACTGGATTCACCATATAAACACGAGCAGGCCAGAAGCTGGGAATACTGCAGTGAGTAACTCCCCTCCTGACTCCTCAAAGCCTGTCCACCATCTACAAGGCACAAGTCAGGAGTATGATGGAACACTCCCCACTTGCCCTGGATGGGTGCAGCTCCAACAACACTCAGGAAGTTTGACACCATCCAGGACAAAGCAGCCCCCGCTTGATTGGCACCACATCCACAAACATCCCACTCCCTCCACCACCGACGCTCAGTAGCAGCAGTGTGTACTATCTACAAGATGCACTGCAGAAATTCACCAAAGATCCTCAGACAGCACCTTCCAAACCCACGACCACTTCCATCTAGAAGGACAAGGGCAGCAGATACATGGGAACACCACCCCCTGCAAGTTCCCCTCCAAGCCCCTCACCATCCTGACTTGGAAATATATTGCCGTCCCTTCACTGTCGCTGGGTCAAAATCCTGGAATTCCCTCCCTAAGGACATTGTGGGTCAACCCACAGCAGGAGGACTGCAGTGGTTCAAGAAGGCAGCTCACCCCCACCTTCTCAAGGGGGGCAACTAGGGACGGACAGTAAATGCTGACCCAGACAGAGACACCCACATCTCACAAAATTAATAAATAAAATGAAAGACTGACCCACTACCCTATCCCTGTAACGTTCCATTTCCCACGGCCAATCCACCCTACCCTGCACATCTTTGGACTGTGGGAGGAAACCGGAGCACCCGAAGGAAACCCACGCAAACACTGGGAGAATGTGCAGACTCCTTACAGGCAGTCACCTGAGGGGGGAATCGAACCCGGGTCCCTGATGCTGTGAGGCAGCGGCGCTAACCACCGAGCCAGCATGCTGCCCAAACGCAGAGTGCCTCACAGTGAGCATGCTCAGAACCTCCCTCCATACAACATGAACGTTATGGGGCTGTCAGGACCTATAGCCTGAGGTTTAATGAGGTTGTGACAGTGTTATTCCTGGGCGTTGACCCACTCGATGTTCCTCAGGAGCTGGGGGAATGTCCTGTGCAAACACAGGTCTGTGCCTTTCCCTCCATTCTCTGTTGGTTTCATACAACAGTTAATCCACAGTAATGCCCTTTTGTAGATGTTTGATACTAATCTCGGTTTGTATTAACAGAAGCTGTTAAGATCCAATTTCCTTTAAATGATCTGCAGGCTGTATTGTGGAGACCACCCTCTTAGTTTCATTAATTGTCACACTGGCCCATCCCCTCCCTTTCAGTAAACCAGGGGCTGTTTTTATCTGTTTAAAGGTGTTGCTGCACAAATGTAAAGTTTTGTTGTGGCTGGTAAAGACTCCAATCCAAAGGGACTTGGCTGATAGAACTCGGTGTCTGTGAGGAGCTAGGGACCAGCAGTAGTGCAGGATTACACAGGAATCTCCAGGAATGAATGGAAATCCCTGTGGAATACAGTGAACCAACAAGGAAGAGAATTATCATGGGGAAAGTTGAAAAGGAGAAGGCTTTCCCCATAGTTTATGCTCCTTAAGTATAACAGTATTGGTGTTAGGGGAGGGAGGTGACTCTTCATGGAAGAGACAGGAATTAAACAGTCAGGTCATGACAAGTATGTTCTCTTTCTGATTGGCTGTAGAAAGGGTTTAGATGAATTCGGAACCTGACTGTAGCTGTTAGCATTAACTCTAATCCCATCTCCGGGCTCTAACCCCAACCACTAACCCTAACCCTATCAAATTAACTCTGACCCCGAGCAGTAATCCAAACCCCAAGCACTAACTCTGAATGCTGGGCACTAACTCTGAACGCTGGGCACTAACCCTGTAAGAACCCCAAAACTGCTTTGAGCCCATACCCGAGGGGTAGAGTACCTGGGGCATGTGGGTTTGGGGCGTGGGGTTGGGGGAATGGTGGGAGAGCGGTAGGGCACGTGACAAGAGAGCTCCCAAAATTCCTCACAGACAATCGATGACCTTTTGATAATTGTCCCGATTGCCTTGCAGATTAATCTTTAGCTGATCCATTCTGTGGCAGCTTCGTGTTTTTCTCGGCTGTGGTGTCAGCTTTAACCTTCTCTGTTTGTTGTTGATCTAAGAATGTCATAAGACCCAGTCAGCTCTGTCAGGATGTTCTGGTGCTGCTCTGTCCCTTTCAGGCCTGTAACGGTCTCCCTGTTAGTAAATGTTCAACAGCAAGAAGTTGTTGTTTGGGAAAGGCTTGGAATAAATCTTGAAGGAAGAGAAGTTATTGTTTCATCCAGTGAAGGTGAGCTGAGGTAATGGGTGACTTCACAGAGGACCACAAGTGGAGTCTGAGGCAAAGTCTTTAATTGAAAATGTGAAGAGAGTATAACTCAGGGTGAGAGGTTGTGCATTAAACCCTCCTGCAGTACACCCAATCAGAGTTAGCAACCCTACTGCAGGGAGTTACATTCGATAGGTGGGTTAGATGGGCTGAAGGCACTGTCCTGTCCAAAACCACTTCTCTGCAACTACACAACGAGCTGAGGATGCTTGAGCAGAAAAAAAAACAAATTTTCAAACCACAATTCAGGATTAAGATCGGCCATTTTTCAAAGGTCACTTTTTATTGAAAATGTTTCAATCTAAAACAGGAGAAACAGAGAAGGAGACAGGCTCTAAAACAATGCACTGACTGAACACAAACCAAACATGAGACAGAAAGTGACACTGAGCCCCTCTTCTATTTTCACTGGGTTTTTACTGATCACTTCTTTCCTGTTTTGTTGAACTGAGCGGCATAAACAATGAGGACCAATTCTCGATTCCAGGCTGACAACCAGCTACTGTTTGGGTTAACTCGATTGGTCACCTCATTCAGTTTCACTCGGAACTGAACAAACACAACTTGCATTTGTATAGCACCTTCAAGATAGTAAAACATTCCACACAGTTCACAGGAGTGTTGTCAGACAAATGCTGACACCAAGCAGTCAGGAGCTGGGTGAGTGTTAGATTGGTCGTAGAGACACGTTTGCAGTGGGCT